GGTTCCGGCGCCGGACCTCTGAAGGAGCGGTGTGTCCCTCTCGCCCCTCCCATGCAGCAATATATGCTTGTTCGTGTCACTTAGTTGTGCTCTCTTGCTGTCTTCCCTTTGTGTGCCTCCCTCCAGGAAAATCATCTCCAGTCTCCACCCCCGAGAAACGTTCATATGGCAGATCTAAGATGTACCACGACAAACCGTGGGCTCTTGACTGGGCTGGTGGTCTTCATAGACCCGGTTGTGGAGCCGTTGTCTTCTTGAGCGACGACAACGGCAAGAGTTGGTACCCCTGCGGAGGGTTGGAGAGATCGGAAGCGGGGAGGATCGCTGTTGATGGCAGGACGTTTAGGACCTTCTTCCTTATGTCCGTGTCCGGCAGAGATGGGAAAAATTCGGTCAAGGAAGACAAGAAGGTGTCTCTTGACCTTCGACTCTTCCAAGGCTACGGAGTAAAGGCTTTCTCGATGAAAGAGTTTGGCGTGCGGGGAAACGGGGCGGAGTTCCGAATGCTACCAGCGGACCAGTTCTTGTTGAAAACCAATGGCTACAGCGTGACTGGTTCCCTGCCTGTTGTCGACAACACTTTCATGATCAGCAGACAGTTGGTCCCGTTCAACAGCCCGACGGATCAGTTAGCGACTTTCGTTATGCAGTACAGGGAACATTTCGCGAGACTGCCTGCTGCCCAGCGAGTTGACTGTGTTTTGGTGCCCTTCGCCGCGGTGTTCAAACGGCGCCAAGATCAGCCTGCTAAGACAGTTGCGAGGAGGAAACAAGTGACATCCGACACGCCTTCGTTGGATGCGGTTGTCCAGGCTCTTCCCGCTCCGGTTCTTCCCTCTGTGAGACAAAGTCTCGATGCGGCCGAGCAGTCCAGCGAGGCCACGGACTTGGACGACGGAGCTTTGGGCTATCAGCCTCATCCCCAGCGTCGTCCCCATGGAGGTGAAGATGCCTCCAACGACGAGGAATGCGAGGGCCGAGATGGAAAGGGTGGTGGTTGGGAGGGGGAGGACGGTGGTGACGGGGACGACGGTAACCAAGTCGAAGCTGAAGGTGAGGAGGATGACATGGACGAGGAGAGAGATGATGTTGATGAGGATGACACATGCCGCGTTGGTGACGCGGTCGATGTTCGTGGCCAGCCTTCGGGTTCCCGCGGAATGTCACAGCCCTGTGACCAAGCGATGGGTGGGAGAGAAGAACCTGGATAAAGGGGAAAGAGAAAGAGGGGAGAAGCGTTGACCTCTCCTGCTGGTCGAACAAAACAGGCGAGGGCGGACGCCGTCAATGAAGCTCGCGGAGCGTTGACGGCATCCCAGGAAGCACGGGCTCCACGGGAAACTGCTGGGGGGGGGCGAGGTGGCATTCGTGGCGGCGGTAAGAAAGGCTCGCAGAGGTCCAGGGGACCTGACACGACACGATGTTTTTTTCTCAAATACGACGAACAGGGATTTGCCAGGCAAGACGTCCATGTTGTTAACGTCGACGTCACAAGGATCAAACGCATTCCCCGTGGGAGGATTCTTTTTAACCACCATGCGTTGTCCGAGAACATTGTGAGAGGCATCGAGAGTGCCATAGAAAGCTCCATTGGTGCTGACCCGGGGGCATGGGATAGACCTGAGCTCGTTCTTGCGCTAGTTGACCCTAACGTCATCGTCGGTGGGCAGGGAAAGCGGATCACGCCAAACGAGTTCTTACAAAGAGATTCTGCGGAGTTCGACTGGTATGCTATCTATGGTCAGCATACTGCCGAGGCCATGAAACGGTTGGTTGCAAAGGTCTCCCCAGCGGTTAAAGCTACGACCTTCACATGTACTCTAAAGTGTGAGTCGTCTATTTCAATGATGACCACACTCGGGGGTACTTCAATGTCTCCGCCTTCAACAACACACGGGAGAATCGTGCGATGATGTTATCCGTCCACGACGCTGTGCGTGATATGAGGCCATGGTGGATCGACAACCACAGGATCGAGGCACCCAAATCTAAGGTCAGCGAGAAGGATCCTGTCGCCGTCGCACATCAAAAAACGTGGCGGAACTTCCTGAGGGCCTGCATAGGGAAGGCGTGCGACAAGGCGTTTGTGAAACAGGCACTCGAGAACGAATACAGCAAGGATTGGAGTAACAAACTCCGGGGGTACCTGAACCTCGCCATGTCCACCGACACGGTTTGGCCGCTGGTGGAGAAGTTCTTTGCCATGTTCGAGGACGGTAAGTTGTCGGCAGGCGACGGCAAGATCCCGCTTGACATGCCAGRAAGGATGGAGGGGCGCCTGCCCGGCCCGTACACAGACGAGAGCAAGGGCCAACGAACTTTGTAYCACTGCATATATGCGAGAGATGGTCCCAAGGGCTCCACCGTGTCCTGGAAGGATTTGTGTCCTACATACTTCAAGAACTTCGGGGACATGACATGCCGTGAGAGAGAGGTCRCGCTGATCCTCCTCATGTCGGGGAAAGTGGTGGCAACGAAAGTGAAAGTCCCGCCTCCGAGGGTGAACACAGAGTGCCTCCTCGACATTATGCGCAAGGAAAGATACGTGGTCCGCATGTTCAACTACGTCGTGTTTCGCGCCGAGGGAAGGGCAGAGGATGAATGGAACGATGACTTCTTCATGTCGTACAAGAACCTGGAAGAGAGATATGCATCGAACGGCCTGTGCGCAGCTGAATGGGAGAAGCAACGGGAGAAACTGCATAACAGCTTGGTGAAGACGATCCCTCAGCGACTTGGAGGAGTGGAGGAGGCAAGGCAGGGTGCGGGCTTGGGCCCTATAGAAGTGATGTACAAGGAGGCTCCGTTTCACTTCAAGGTCTTTGTATACACCGTGATCGATAAGCTCGATATGCTTCGAGCGGAGGTGAAACGGATCGCCTCCAGTGCACGCCATCTTGTATGGGAAAAACTCGGCAGGCAGACGACAATGCTTCCTGTATGTATGCGGCCGAAGGAGGTTATGGCGGCGCCCGACGACATCATCACAGTCGCACAAAAAATGGCATGCAGGGCCGCCATCGTGGACATCTCGGTCGCGAATTTCAGTAGTGCATGGACCTCGCAGGACTTCGCTACACTGTACGCAATGATGGCGAAGTGTTGTGGTCCAAATTGGGTCCTCTTCTTCTTCGCGCCGCATAAGGTGCAAAGCGATGTCTTGCGCCAATTGTTCCGTTGGGAAGACGTCGAGCTTATCCCCGGGTCGTGGAAACGTGTGGACAGGCCGGCGAGCGACGTCACAAGGTACGACAACATCGCTACGACGAGTCGGAACCTCATGGCCATCGTGCTGCACGATGAAGGAGGGGATTTGAAGAAAGTAATTGTCGCACCTCGGCTTACCAACGATCTCACCGAGGTGCATGTGGTGGAGGAAAAGTTTGGGAAGTGACAAGGAAAACACGGTGGCATCGAGGGCGACGAAAGTGCCGCATATTCAATTGGGGAGCGGGAACCTGGCAAGTTGCGCTCGTTATGCAGTTAATTTGTCGGAGAGGCGGAAGGTGTGCTTTTGCTGGGCAGGGCACATGCAGAACTTGTGTGGGAGTTTTTGCGTGCGGGCAATAATGTCATTGCCTCTGATGAGTCGGCAAAGGACATTTCATACTTGATAAAGTTCGTCGACATACTTGTCAAGGATGGGAGATTCGTCTGCCGACTCGAGAAACCGCGTTCCGCACATCGCAGCAACAGGGATATGTACCACAAGTTGGGAGCCAAGAGACTGAAGGTGTGGGAATACCTGTTCTGCAATACGCCAGAGGGACGCCTTGATGGGGGATACATACATCGAAAAGCCAAGGTGACCGAGCACCTCAAACATTATCACGGTGCTCTAACTGGCGCCTTCGAGACGTTCGTTGCTCGTTGCGAGATCTTGAGGTTTGATCTTCACAAAGATCAACTAGCATTTAAGGACTATGCAGATCTCGCTAAATCGGGTGAAGGCTTTAACCCCGTCGACAGCGAGGAAGACTCGTCGGACTCCGACCTCGAGATCGAGAACGACACCAATGCAACCGGGTGGCATGGGCACTCTGTTGCCACGGAGCACGGCGTCACGGGATATGGACCTGGTCAATCCGAGGAATGCTCGAACCTGCCACATGCGCACAGTGTGGCCTCGGGGGTGGACAAGGTTGAGTGCACGCCTATGGAAGACGATGAGGACGAGGACCTCGATATTCCTGCTCCGCCAACAAAGCTGGCGCCGGGTGATCCGGTTCCTTCCACCTTTTGTGCAGACCCGAACACTATGTATTTCTTGGATGACAAATACGCCCGCACAAGCGAGGACAAGTGGGGTCATGATATCATTTGGCATGACGACATTTTCGCGCCATGCATCCAAGGCGGGGAGTGGAAAATGGCGGTGAAATATCTCTCAAAGCGTTGGAGACCGTTTCCCCGCATGGGCAACGACAGTCGGCTGAAGACGACGGAGCAATCAATTTTATACCGTTGTCGGAAGGAGAACCCCGGGGAGAGTGAAACATCCATCGCGGCAAAGGCGAAACAATTGTTCGACGCATTGCGAGCCGCTCGGCAGTTGGAGTACTCACACAAGTTTTACGAGCTGCAATCGAGCCCTTCTTGCGGCATGATTGATTGGAAGGTCCAACGCACAGCCGGCCTCGAGATCATGGACGTGGACCCCCGAGGAGATGCCGCCCCTGTGCCAGAGGCGGCCACAGGGATTACGATGGGTGAACAAAGGGAAGATGGCGGGACAACATTAGGCGTGAAGGCTCCATTGCCAAAGGCAGGGAATACTCCCGCTGGCAAAAAACACCAGCAGAACCAACTCTGTCGCAACGGGGGATGCATCACAAGGTGAACATGTGTCACCTGCCAAGCCGTCGGGTGCAGGCGCCACATACGGGAGTCTCCTCGCGACAGGTGCGGCGCTCGCAGACACATTAGAGATGGAGTCAAAGTCCACTGCTGGGATGGTCGGCACGGGGATGTCGTTGGCTCTGCCCACATGCACTAGCAAAGGTGACGCACACTGTACAACAACACCAGAGGGAGGGGTCGTAGGGGATGACGGGAATGGGGGGAAATGCAGGGGGTTCTCCACGTCCGCAGAATATTGAGGACATGACGACGGACGATGAGGGTGGGGTAGAAGACGGAAAGGGCGTAAGCGATCCCACGCGTGTAGGAAATGAGGGGTGAGACCTATTCACGGGGAAATTCAATGTTTTCGTGTGTGTGCTCATCTGTTTTAAATATAGGATTGTGGGATCGCTTTGTTCCAATGTACATTCGACTTGAAGACTCATTGGTTTTCAGTTTTTGGGATTTGACCTTTTCATTGTTGATAATAACATGGTATATAAATGGACATGAGATGTTTAGATTGACTGTCCGTCTCGACGTGCAGTAACAAATTGTGGTGGGAGCGTGAGTGTGGTGTTGTACATCTCTCTCTCTCTCTCTCTCTCTCTCTCTCTCTCTCTCTCTCTCTCTCTCTCTCTCTCTCTCTCTCTCTCTCTCTCTCTCTCTNTCTCTCTCTCTCTCTCTCTCTCTCTCTCTCTCTCTCTCTCTCTCTCTCTCTCTCTCTCTCTCTCTCTCTCTCTCTTTCTCTCTCTCTCTCCCTGTGCGACATGGATGTATGTGTGCGGACGTACTCAATGAGGGTGGTCGACCAATGCGAGGAATGAATTGCTGCATACGTGAATGAGGTTCATACAAGTAAAATATTAGAGAAACAATGGAAACATGCTTTGCATGCATCAACTCAGACAAAGCGTTTGGCTATGCACTTACAATCCCTCCCCCGTCCGCCCGCGTGAATGTCGCCTTCCTCATCGTTTGTGGTGTGCAGTGCAAATGACAACAACGGATACAAGATCGTTCAAAAGAGGATGGACAATGCATCTCGCAACTTCGTCTTTATCAGAAAAGGAGATGGCAGCAATAGCGCATATCATTCGCGAATACGGGAAAAGGTATCCCGTAGGCAGCACACACGATGCGCAAAAGAACGAAGTGTTGCAACTCACTCGCGGCGATTTCCTTTTGCTCGCTGTTGAACAGCAGTGGTTAAACGACAACGTCATCAACTTTTACCTCAACCTCGTAGCATTGGACAACCAGTGTAGAATACAGCACATAGACTGCGACGCGGAAAAAGAGATAGTCATTAGAGAAGGAAACGGTCGCATTCCCAGAGTAACAGTGTTGAGCTCGTTTTTTTTCGTCAAACTTTTCGACAATGACTTCAGATATAGAGGGCGAGAGGTAGAACGCTGGTGCCAGGACGTAATTATAAGTGGCATGGACTTGATTATTGGTCCTTTCCACATCGCACACCAGAACCACAGGACCTTGGTCGTGGCTGACTTAAGGAGGAGGAAATTCGAATTTTACGACTCCGTCGGCCCCGACAAGGAGTTGGCGTTCAAAGTGACCGGCGGGTTTGCAAAGTTTTTATTCGAAAGATTGAAATCGCAAGGCAAAGAGGTGGACACAAGACCATTCAATCACATATGGAACGTAGAGGGCATTCCAAAGCAATGTGACACGAACGAATGCGGGGTCTTTGTACTCACATACGCGTCACTATTGGCGCGGGGCCAACTTCCGCCTTTCTATTTCACCGCACATGACGTACCCGCAATACGTCGTCGGATGGCATTGGACACAGTGGCTCGTGAGTAGTTTGTACGTGATATTCAATACTACGATTATGAAGGGGGCGGATGTGGTTGCCACGAGATGGCGCTTTACAAAAATAATGTATATAAGGTGTCAAACATTCCTCGATACACTGTGTCACTTGCCCCTTTCATAGTACCTTCATATACCTTACCCCTCACCCCTTACACCATACACCTTGCACCTTACCCCATACACCTTACCCCATACCCCTTACACCTGACCCCCTACACCTTACCCCATACACCTTACCCCTTACACCTTACCCCTTATACCTTACCCCTTATACCTTACTCCTTACCCCTCACACCAAAACGCCCATTTGTAATGGTTTTTCCACCTGAATCATCTCAAAAATGACAATATCGATTTCGTTCAAAAAATATAAGACGTCCGTTTTGACGAAATCGTTGTTGGAACGATAATTTTTTGGCAGAAAGAACGTGAAAGATGAGGTCGTTCAAATGAAGAATGATTATAGATTTTTGGAAATTTTTGAAGATAGTGACGAGGTGATTGTCGATGAGAGACCTTAGAACGTGAGTCTTATTAGTACTTTGTACTTTCCGTATAATACTTTGATTTTGTGTACGGCAAGATAATGTGAAGAGGTCGTAAGATTTGAATATGATATCGTGGACTATTGATAGAGAGAGAGAGAGATGTCTTCGAAAATTTGTGACATTAGTACTTTGTACTTTCCGTATAGTACTTTGACTAGGTGTATGGCGAGATAAATGTGAAGAGGTCGTTGGAGTGGAATATGATATCGTGAAATGTTGAGAGAAAAAGAGAGAGAGAGGGAGAGAGAAAGAGAGAGAAAGAGAGAAAGAGAGAGGTAGAAAGAGGCAGGAAACAAACAAAGGAGATAGATTCGGTATGATGTGTATTTTGTAAATTCACATGATTTTGTTGAACACATGTGTTATATGTGTGTTGTGTATTGCTATGCCAGTTGGGGTGAATGAACAACAAAGACTCTCATGGAATGTCTTAATTGTTTTTTTTTTTTTTTTTTTTTTTTTTAAGAGGACAAAGCACATCCGTGATCATGTTTAAAATGCCTCATTATGAACTGAACATAATAAGTGCAATGGAAAGTGTACGGTGGATGCTATTCCGCCGAAAAAAAATATTGGTAATTATGATTTTTGCATCAGTTAAAGGGGTTTTCACGAGAAAAAAAAAAAACATAACCATATTTAAACGTTGATTCCTCCTGTGATATGACAACAAAGACATATGTGAAACACACACATATACGCAAAGAGAAAGAGAGAGAGAGAAGAAAAGAGAGAGAAAAAAAAAAAGAGAGAGAGAAAAAAAAAAAAAAAAAAAAAAAAAAAAAGAGAGAGAGATCTATATTGATTGTGATGTTAAGAGTTCCAACTATTTTTAAACGATTTTTTTTTTCACTACGATATCTGAATGTTGCTCAAACATTGCAATGAGTTAGGCAACGAATTCCCCAACATTTACGCATATCAAGGATACAGTATAACCATAGATGACTTTACTCATCATGGAACGTTGGAACAACGTTGGAAAATGTTTGTCAAGTTGATTTGGTAGCCCGCGGCAAAGTCGTCAACGTTTCTTGTGTTGAAGTAAGGTTTTACACATGTGTTTATCGGTCAAGGTGGAAATTTGGTGCATGTTAAAAAATTGTTGTTACTCGATATGGTCAACTATTGATTAACACAACGGTGTATAAAAACATAATTGTTGAAAACGGGATTTTTTTCCGTTGAAATGCCACTCCCACTACTCCACTGGTCACTCTTCGTCGCACCTGATGTTGGCTATCGCGCCACTTGGCCTTCTATCTTTCTCGATGAGTCACAACAAATCTTATACCTCTCCCTTACTCGGCGCTGGCGGCAGTCTTACCGACATAAAGCTTGCAAGAACTTCATCTTCAATAGCTACTTCGCTCCGTTCTCGGAAGAAGAGTCGGAATTTCCAAGGTGCTATCTCGCTGGTAGAGCCTTAGGGGACCGTAGAGCCGTAGGCCGACCCGGTAACGTTGGGCGGAGCGCTTAGCGTCGGCCATAGCGTTCCGTCGCAGCGCCTCTTAGGTTGAATTTCATTCAAGTTGATCCGAACAAACACTGGTCTGTTCAGACATGCTAAAAAGTCCGGAACGATGCCTTGAAATAAACAAAAATAGAACCATGCAAGGGTCGGCAATAAATAAATAAATAAATAAGTAAATGCTGAGAAATAAGAGTTTGGGTGCCAAAAAGGTTCCTTCGCCTAGAACATGGTCGTGGGGCGTGCCCGCGTGGGCCTCCCGGTCGCATGCCTGGAATGGGTGCGCAGCCAAGGGACCCACGCAACCTTCGGGCCCCCAAAATGTCGCTCGTGTCCAGGTGCAGCATGCCATATTGTGAGTCTTTTGGGGTGTGTGGTGTTCACTTCCCTTCTCCTTTCCGCGTTCTTAGTTCCGTCCATTTACCATTTGCCATATTGTTTTTTTTTTATATTCTTTGGTACGTGTACCTGTGTGCAACTTACAAGCATGAAAGTCGCACACAAGTATCCATGCTCGTAAAAGTCGCACACATGTATGCACACGAAGGCTAAAAGAAGAAAGGGATAACTTCAAAAAAATGCCCTTTCAGTTCTTAGTATCTTGATCTTGCAGAAAAAACTGCATACTACAAAAAAGTTGAATATGATAGAAAAGTGTGGCCTACAACTGAAACTTCAGAAATGTGTTTCGGGTGCAGAAAACTGCAGCCCAAAAACGTGGAACAACTGAAATGTTCGAATCAGCTCATTATGTTTTCCTTTTTCTTCGGCCCTTGCCCGTTTGGAAGATGCCCCATTAGTATATTTATGAGACCCAACCCCCGTCCGGTACGGCTGTCTTCCCACACATGACACACCACGGTTATGAATGTATAAGAGGTTGTTTCGATATGATACCGTCACAATGAGGATGCGTTCCGAGGATGTCCTCCTGTGTGTGTGTAAGTGTGTATGTGTGTGTGGGGGTGTGGGTGGGTGTGGGTGTGGGTGTGGGTGTGGGTGGGTGTGGGTGTGTGGGTGTGTGGGTGTGGGTGTGTGGGTGTGTGGGTGTTGGTGTGTATGTGTGTGAGAGAGAGAGAGAGATGACTTTGCCAATGAATCTGACCAAACTTCTATGTAGAATTTATAAGCAATTAATTTGAAAATGGTTTTTTCAATCTCTCTCTTCCGCACACACACACACTCACGCATATGTGAAAG